TCGACCAATCGCAATTCATACTTTGCAGTCACGTGGTTACCATGGATACCTGGCGGGCAAGAAACGCCGACTTCATCTGTCTATTATAGTACATTATATAGTATAGTACAAGTAAAAACCTTAAGAATATAGATATATGTAAGTGCTACTGAAGTGGAGATTTATGAGATATTTGTGATGAAAATCATTTTGACAAAATGGCCTTTAAAGATATGTATTGGTAAAGTCATTACAGGTAAATAGGGTAAAACATTAAACTAACAGACATCCCCATGAAACTTCCCCAGTTGATTACTTACATTAAGACAGATTACAAGTTTTCAGAATTTTATCTTTAAATAAGCATATTATGCATTATCTATTGCAAATAGATCTATTACAGAATTTTAGTGAATTTACGCAAATAGATAAAGTGTATGTATTTTGGGCATTTTCTTTCCAGTACTCAGAAAGACAACATGTTACTGAAGCAAAGTAGCCCAAGATATCAAGATTTACAATGAAAAAACTATGCTTTTGCCTGTAGTGTCTCCCCTCAACTCTCGTTCAATAAAAATATATTGCAAACAATATTATTATTAATAATGAGAGTTGATATTTTTTGCATATCAAAAATGTAATGGTTTCTATATGTCGGGAGGCTTATGTTAGCTTCCAGTAAAAATACAAAAATAGCATCTGATTTGCTTTCTCTTCTTGCAGATATAGGCTGACTGATGTTTACAGAAGATATCTGTGTGTCTGTTATGTGTGTGTTTGTGTGTGTGTAGGAATAGACAGCATGTATGTTTATTAATAAATGTGTCTACCTGAGTGATGCAGGCCCCGGTGAAGGCCACTATGACAGCCACTACGTTGACCGTGAGTTGGAACTGCAGGAACTTGGAGATGCTATCGTAAACATTTCGTCCCCACATCACCGCCTTGACAATGCTGCTGAAGTTGTCGTCGGTCAGGATGATGTCAGATGCCTCTTTAGCCACGTCTGTCCCCGCAATACCCTGGCACAGATTGAGACAGAGTGAGGAGGAGACAGAGACTCATGGCATGATTCATGCGAGCATTCAAGCATCCGCATTATTTTGAAGTGCTTCTGTCTCAGTATCGTGTTGTCCTGCCTCCAAGTGCAAATACTGGCTGAGTAAGAGCTGTGGCCAAAATCAAATGCACGCTACACAAAAAATGCTTTTATTTTAAATAAAATACAATAAATTAATTGTTTAAAAATATATTGATCTTGCATTTACCATTTAGAGGAAACTATGCATTTAAGCATAGTGGGCCTGGACAAAAATAACCAAGAAAGATAGTTGATTGTTAAATCTCATTCCCAGGGACCCAAAACATCTGTATTATATGACCTGGGTATAAGACTAAACAGTCAGCTATTTTCCTCACCACTGGTTGTTTTCAACAAACAAAAAGTTATTTTTAGAAAACGTATCTACTGCAGCAAAAACCACTTATAGTTCAGCAATAGACACAGTATTATATTTTAGAATAACACAGGAATTGCAAAGAGGCTACTAAATGTATATACAGTATAAAGTTTCATGGCCTAACAGTGATTAAAAACAGCAGGTAAGGTGCAAGGAAGACTGTGACATAAGGCTATTGAAGAGTGTTTGCAAGTTTTCATTCCAGCCAAAGACCATAGCAGGTGATTGTGATTTTGCTAATTAGCACTCTTTCAGCTAGAGAGGAACTAATCAGGGAAAGTACCTTTCGTAGTGTTGGTTGGAATGAATTCACTTCACTTCTTTGGTACATGGTTAGGGATTTAAACAACATTTGGATATAAGCAGATAATGCACTCTGTGCAGATGCAAACAGCATCCAATTTTGTGCAGTAATATTTCTTTTTTTCCATAAGTTGACCCGCCATTCTGAATCTGAAACACACATCATACACACAGTGCAAGAATCAGTCAGGATTGTAATATCTTAAATGTCCATGTATCTGACATTGATAAATCAGATGAAAGAGACTTATGACAAAGTCCTAATGAACAGATCCAGCCTCATAATCACCATTTTTAGTTGCTTTTCTCAGTATCAAAAGTAATCGAGTGGATGCTGTGTGCTTACAGCATATTGTTGTCACAATATAAACAAATATAAGCTTAAACACAGAGTAAATCAAGTATCTATACATGCACGACATACAGCATAGATGAAATTTCGGTCCTCTCATCAATATGGTCAATCAAATGGTGTTAAGTTCAATGTTCAGACACTTTGTGAGGTTAAACATCAACATCATCATCTTTGAATAAGCTCACCAGTTATCAGATTTGTTGGATAGGTGATTTTGTAACAGCAACTTACTGAAGTGATTTTTTTCCCCCCCAAACAGTCATAAATTCCAGGGATATCATATATTTGACACTTTATGCATGAGTGTTTCCCAACCGAGCAGCATGTCCATTACCAAGGGTAAATATCCTGCTCTAATAACATCAGCACCATGCCGGCAGGCTTACCAGACTTTTCCCTTGACTAAGAAAACCTAAATTAAAATAATTACTGTACAAATATTCTCTTAGTTGGAGGGATTGGAATCAAGAACTGGTTCCAGTTGAGACATGGTTCCAAATTAAACATGCGTGCCTTTTTTCTATACTGCGTTCAGACTCAGGGATATTCCAATAGTTGCGTTGAAGCTTAAAACCTGCGTAGGCCTACATTTTTCCACACAAGACGACTAAGTCAGAGCATCTCTAAACCTGCAGCTCTTGTGGAGTATTCCCGATCTGCAGTGGTCAGTACCTATCAAAAGTGGTCCAAGGAAGGAATTGTGAACCAGCAACAGGGTCATGGGGGGGCCAAGGCTCATTGATGCACATGGGGAGTGAAGGCTGACCCGTGTGGTCTGATCCAACAGACGAGCTACTGTAGCAGTTTGTTGGTATAGGGCTGGAACTGGAAGCCACACACATTAAAATGATCGCGTTTTCTCTTTTTTTTTTTTCTTTTTTGGCAGAAAAACAATGACTTGTGGCTGCTAAATAAAAGCTAGCGTGCTTTTGAGCTAGGCTTGTTCAATTTTACAACTGACACACTGTGCAGATTTTTGTTTCAGCTCGAAATAATCCCAAACTTTTTATCGTTTTCTCTGGATATATACCAGTCAGCCATAACATTATGACCACCGGGGCACCGGCCACTTTATTGTAAACCTTTCACTTCCAGTCATTGTGTAGGGGTAAGAAAACGAGACAGTGTAATAATTTATACAGTGACACTTTCTATACATAGAAAGGAGATGCAAAACCTGTGAAATGCTTGCTTAAGTTCTGAATAATGTATGAGCCACTGGTTGAAGTGTTTCTTTGCAGTTTGAGGTAGTCATATGACCAGAAGTCATACTGGATGACCTTGTTATCCCACAAAGGTTTTCAGCATCAACCAAATGTAAGAATGAACTCACAGAGCCTGGAGAGGCTTTGAACAACTGACTAAAACAACAACACTTACACACTGTTTGCATAAATCACACAAGGCCCGTGGCTCATGATCTGTGAAAAAATCAGGTTTCTCTTGCTTTTCTCTTTTGCTTTTTCTTTCTACTAAGAATCAACTGGGCCTTAATGAAAACAACCAAACTTTGCGTTAGAAACTTGAAGATAGTTGATTAGTAATTTCTACTAGTATAGTTGTTGCTATTATTGTTGCTGTGCACCTTTTGTCTCTGTCCTTCTCTCTTTACAAATTTTTTTTTATAAAAATTACCTACTGCAGCTTTAATGTTTCGTTTAAAGTTCAGTAGGATCTGACTGAATGTTTTATGTTTTTCCTCATTTAAAAGTTATATTTCAATTTGCTAATTCTTTAGCTTTTTTGCAACTATTAGGTCATTTCTTGTCTTCATGCGAACTTGCTCAACAATGGGGATTGCCCTGTAGCTCCACAATTAAATGGTGGTGAGTAAAAACGAACTTTATCAGCTAAAGCACAAGTGAGCATTTCAATTATCCTGGGAACAAGGGGCTTAGTTGGGTGCTGTTAACTTTGCGAGGCAGCTAGATTCGCAAGATCACAGAATTATGAGCTCACGTGAGAATCTTGCCGGGCTTTGAGCTATGTGCTTGTGTCCAACCACAGTGGTTTGGACCAGTAAGTGTCATTTGAGGAACTACTGCCAGCCACGGCATGAGCTAGGTTTAACGCTAGGTGCCCGAAAACGGCAGTGGCGGCTGCTAAAAGAGATTAGGGTAGATCTTGTAAGCATCAGTTTTATCAGAACTGGACAGTATTTCTTTATTGAAGAAGAGCAAAGAACGGTGGACAGAACAAATAATGTCCCCGCAACCTTTTGTTTTCCAAAATATCCAAATATCCCAAATCCTCAAACAAGCATGCCAGTAGGTGGCGATAAAGTCTACATCTACAAATATCAGACATATCATATCATTGAGTTGTCTGCTTAAGAGTCAACTACATCTGCACCTGTTGTGCACCTTTTAGGCAAACACTGGGGTTTCCCCTGTATGCTTACCCTAGCCTACTTTCTATACTATAGTTTCCTGTTTTCACTCTGATGTCTGAACCTTTGGGTCTAAACTACTCGGCTGAAACTGAGGTGGTCCTCCACAGCTGCAGAGTGATCATAGAACCTGCCCATTACATTCAATAAGCTACTTACATTTACACGGGACACCCCCCCTCATGTTGTCATCCAGTACACGTGTCACTATTGATAGACAGGCACTAAAACCAGAAACATATAATATGAACGAAATAAACTTGGAACATGCGGCTTGTTTATATGTCTGGCTGGTTTTGGGTTCTCACAAATTTATTATGCCGTGGCATGCGCAGTGCGTGGCTTGCCTTTTTGTTTTTTTTTTTCTGGCTCATTGTGCAGAAACAACACAAGCTGCACCCATCCGTCCATCATTAAACAGATTGCGTATACCGTGTTTTTCATTGTGAATAATGACACCACACGTGCCCGTTTACAACCACATGCTAACAACAAAAAGGCTACTGCGGATTTCGCCACTGACATCACCACACCATTTCATAAGCGCAACAGCTAAAGCCCCACAGTAGCACTTGTCGTACACTTGTCCAACTAAGTCGTTGTCTGTGCGTTTGTGCCAAACCCAGGGTTTGTCTACTACAGCGTCATTTTTGTGTTA